TATATTGTCAGTTATATCGTTATCGCAAATTTTCAAATGTATATCGTGATAAATATTTTTGGTCATATCGCCCTGCCCTACTAAGAACCAGTCCATCTACTGTATGCATCATTAACACTGCATGCTAAGAAGTTCAGCTCATCCAGCGTGAACAAATAATACCAAGGTGTCGTTTGCATGTGATAAGGAGGACGTGACAGACCAATGACAAGCAGACCTTTGGCCGTATTTGAAACTCTGGGAATGAGAGTAGGCTTTGCAACCTGTGTGATGATGGCAGGATTTCTAAATGTTCTGTATGCTAGTAGCATCAGTTAAGGGCCTGAGGGCTCTGTCTTATCAAAAGCTTAGTTTAGCATTCTAATTGAATCCTCCTGGATTTACCTCCCCTGCTACAGTGCACATGAAAGAGCCAAGATGTGTTATTACAGATTAATCTAAAGAGACATCAATCGCGTTGGGTGATTTTAAAGAGATTGATAGAAGCAGATCAATGCAAAAGTACAAAGAAATAGGTGAGATCAGAGATGTTTCAGAGAAAGGCTGTTACTTTGTGTTCATAAATTGTGCTCTTTACTTTCAGCACATTTGATGTGGAATTACAATATTTTAAATGGGTAAAATGAAATTTATTCTAATGATTCTACACAAAGTCATTTAGAATGAGAACATTAAAATATGTTGATACTTATCAATTAAAGTTCACAAACTGAAATAATTATGAAGTGATTAAGATCCTTTTGGCTGCACGTCGCAACGGACTGAGAAGGAAGAAGGTCTTTGGTCAGAAAGGGCTCCATCTGTCACTTTCCCATAGCTGCAGATGTCCTCTGCAGAGGAGTGAGAGCTCGCAGCGGCTCATCATCCATAAGGCTTTTTATGAAGCGAGATAGAAAACATCATGTGGCAACTCTCATTTAGAGGAAAGGATGTGGAAATAGAAAAATAGATGAAACAAAAAAAATAGTGCTCCTGTGTAGGTCACAATGCTGCAGGTCCATGTTTGCTGCATCCTCCAACATGTGGAGTCTGAAATCTTTCTAAAATCCAACCATGAATCTCTCTGAGTCTTTATAGGGTTTAAATTTGCACGTGTAAGACTTTGTCTGCTTTAAAGTTCTGCGTTTCTTTCTGATTATAAATGCTCTGTATGATTGTGTGTCTAATAAGTGGACTCTCTTTGCGCGTGCATAACACTTTCTTCTCTCCGACCCCGCAGCGACCGCCTCGCCATGCGTCAGGTTCGCTCCATCCTGCAGCACCTGGGCCTCACCGGCTCCACGTGCGACGACAGCGTGCTGGTGAAGGAGGTGTGCAGCGTGGTCGCCCGCCGTGCCGCTCAGCTCTCTGGCGCCGGTTTAGCCGCTGTTGTCGACAAGATACGGCAGAATCGCAACTTGAATCAACTCTCCATCACCGTGGGAGTGGATGGCACGCTTTATAAAACGCATCCTCAGTAAGAAGCAGTTATCTCCTAAAACAGCATTTAATCCACAGTTCATAAGAATCAGACAAGCCTGCACTATTAAGCCCTGAGTGGTTGGGATACAGAGCTGCACTGCACACTTTCATATTCACAAATTTATTATATTTTTTTCTTGTAATTTCTGTGACCTTGTTCAAGTGTTCCATAAGCTCCCTGCTCTGGGAGCTGGCCTTCATTCATCAGCTGAAAAAGGGCAATAATAATAAATGAACCACTTGCATTACCAGCACAAAAGTTTGCGTAGGTGTTTGCCCAAATCTTTTAATAAGGCTCATTTTTCACCCCAAAATGAGCCTTTTTCTGTCTGCAGTGCTATTTATCCATGTTATATTATATTTATATATATATTTATCCAAAAGCTTTTTGCATTTTTGAATTCAGTCAAACTTAAAGGTATTTGTGCTTTGAAAAATCTATTTGAATAACTCAGCAGCAGTGTCTTGTGAGCAGCTTTTTTCCTTCCACTCTCTGCCAAACAAAAGAAGCGTGAGGCCAGCTAACATTAGCTCAGCCGAGGGTGGACGTTCATTTACATTCTGTGACACTGTCTCAGGCACTCACCTCACTCTCACCACAAGTACATGAACGCTTTCTTCTGCACAGTCATACGATGTTGCAGTTCAGCGAAAGAAGGAAACTATGTGAATTGTAGATTTTTGAATTAACTATTCATGATTTGTACAAAGAGCTGCAGAAATGTATCTTTTTAGTCCTTTGACTTGAAAGAAAAGACCATCTGGGTGTATTAAATTTAAGACAACGTAGTCATCAGCTGCAAAAATACTCTTATTTGCATAGTAGAGGAAGAGTTTCTTGCAGCTTTTTGACACTTATTTCTCCTCTCTCTCTCTTTCCTTTGCTTATTAAGTTTCTCTGCCATTATGCAAGAAACACTGCGGGATTTGGCGCCACAGTGTGAGGTGACGTTCCTGAAGTCAGAGGATGGAAGTGGAAAGGGAGCAGCACTGATCACCGCAGTGGCCTGCAGGGTCAAAAATGAAGGACAGCAGTAAATCCCAAAGGCTGCTGTGATGTCATGAATAGTTATATATATTTTTTAATGTTTTTTTTCCACCCCCAGTGTAAAGGTGTGTAAGAATGTGTTTTAAGATTTGTGTTTGTAATCTTTGTAGCTGACATTGAGAAGGGGGTCTTTAAATGAAGTTCAGACAGCGCGTTACAAGAATTGCACCTCCTGTGAAATGTGACTGTTACAAGCTGATGGGCTTGTTTTGTATACACTCCATCTTTGTCTTTAATATTGAATATCCCAGGCTGCCTTCCAGCTCGCTGTGTATAAGTTTATACACTGATTGGGAAAAAAAATGTTGGAAAAACTTGTTTATGCAGCACGTGTCACAAAGTGCCTCCGTCACAAAAACATTTCCATGGTCTTTATTTGGAAAATTGCTGAACACGTGGGAGATTAAACTGTAACTCCTGTGTTATGAAACCAAAAATGAAATGCCGGTTGTTGTACTGAATTTACCAATATTTAAACACAGCGTTTATATAAGTGAACTGTTCTGTTATGCTGGACATGCCGAAAACCAAATCTTATTGATTCTGTATTTTTATTCATACTGTGCTTGTATTTGCTAGCAGAGGGCTAATGATTACCATTAGTTTATTCTGATGCTGTAGGAAAAGTACCAACATTAAATATTATCACTGCACCCATCCCCAGGGACTCTTACCAAACAATAGAGGTCAGAATATAAAGGAGAAAAGACAAAAAGTTGAAATCCAGCACTGGTGAGAAAATGTTTTTAATTTATTTTTATTTGTATTAACTTTATTTGCATGTTTAAATATTTCATTTTGCTACCAAAAAGGTTAAAAAGTCATGTTTCTGAAAATGCCTGTCAAGCCAAAAAAGACTTCTCTTTCTTTTAAAAACAATCAGAATTCCCAACATTCAGCAGCAACATCACTAAAATCAGGCTTTAGTGAATTTTTAGAACCACAGCACTTTGCTTTTTCATTCATAATCTGTCTGCTAAGAGCCACATCAGATTGTCTGGCAGATCATAATTCATCCTGCGGTTTTACTTCCATTAAAGACTGTCACAATACAATTGATGTATCTGTTTGCTCTTTCTTTTATTCAGTCGCAGTGAGGGTGCAGGTGAATCACAGCATGACTCATGCAGGCTTCATAGTTTTAAGCTTAGACACGTGCGCATGTAATGTGCCTGTGGATGAGTTCAGGAAACAATCAGTACACATTTACACTCGTTTCTTCCTCCATTGTCCTTTATTACATTATTCTTGTTACGCGGCCTCTATGTTGCGCCGTCCTTTTCAAACTCAAAGGTCAACAATAGGATATACATATACACAGTTTAGTGTTCCTGAAAGAGGAGATCACAAGATCCCTCTAACCTTAAGGAATGTGTCCATCACCAAATACATTTGTTTATATCCAGGGAGATGTGAGCAGGCTTCATCTGATAACCTCAGAGGTGAGTATGTTCCTTCAGCCCACAGCAGATGTGCATTTGCAAAATATGCAGTCTAATTAGTGTTACTGCATTCAGTTTAACCTAACACCTTAATCACTATAAGCAGACTTTTATAATGAGCCTTCGGTCCTTGGCACATGCTGCGGTTGGACGGCTAATGAACTGGACATCACATATGTCAGTCATACGCTTGTATAAATGTTGGCTATATACAGTCTGCTGTTATTAATATAACAGGTTCACCTAATGCTGCAGTCCTGTGTCTGTATTTAAAAACAAAAGGATCTCAAAATGCTTTTAAAATGGTCTCTTAAATGTGTTTTTGATCAAAAACAAAGTATATGGCTTTTCTGGGAGATACGCTTCGCTGTGACATCATAAAGATGTAAGCTTAGCACTGAGTGTTCAGAACAGTTTGAAGCCTGAGCTTTAAGTTCACATGGATTACTTTTAAATAATTGGGTCAGCATATGTAAAACTTTGGCCACTTTAATATGAGCATCTATGCCTGTAGCAATAAATGTATGATAAAAATAAGGACAGGAATAATAGGCCTGTCAGGTCACTGCCATTACAATCTTCATCTCTCTGGTCAGTTTGTGCTGTTAGTTGAAGAACTGCTGCAGAATGTCAGGCTTCAGTTCATTCATTAGGTTGTGCTTGGTAGCAGTGGTGGTCCTAGCCTGTTTGGCGCCCCGGGCTAAC